GCGGGAGGTGCTTACTTTGCTTTCATCTGGTTGTGTGACTGCTCGAGCGAGTAGACCTTGCCGCGGATCAACTCAATCTCTTGGATGTGACGCGTGACTGCAAAGACTGGTTAGCAGCTGTGAGCTCCATGCGACAAAAGACAGTCGAGGCGATGCGCAGAAAGTTTGCTCGCCCGGTCCTTGGATACCGCACGGCAACTGCTTCCCTGCGCGGCTGGATAGCATGTGCAAGACTCACTTTGGCCTTCGGCATCGACACTGCGCTGGGATTCGGCTTCGAACTCGGTCTTGATGTTGTCGAGCAGCTCGTTGAGGCGCTGGGCTGGGCCCGTCTGGGGAGGCATGACCGCCCGGGGAGGGTAGTGGTTCATGCTGGCGGCGGGGTCGCGCGTCCGGGAGAGGGTGCGAAGATGGGCTGGCCGTCTGCTTCGCGTTGTGCGCTATTGAGACGCGAGCAACAGGGCGCGGTATGCGACGACGTCGGGTGGGAGCCTGGCGGTCGCAAGGCTGTGGGCGCACAGCTGGCACGAGCTATCTGGGCTGGTACACGTCTACGGGGCCGGCCCTCTGGTGGGCGCGACGGGTGTCGGATGGATAAACGGTGGATGGGGGCAGATAGGGATGCAAACGGGTGAGATGGTGTCGTGGCTGTGAGATCGCTGAGGTTTGAGCGCAAGATGGGTGGGTCGCCGTGGTTGGTGCTTTTGCTTGGCTTGCACGGAGGAAGAGGCGTTTCAAATCCGGCAGGCGGGAAACATGGCCATCTGGAGCGCTTGCGCCGACATGGCACCAGTTCCGCTACGACTCTCTGTGCCCAAGACGTCGACCTCGGCATGTGCATCCACGATATTCTCTTTTCCACCCCCAAACTTGCATGTCTCCGCTCAAGACTCTCGACAGCATCCCTTCTCCCATCCGCGTCGCTCGCTCCGCTCCACCCCATCCAGCCGGACCCTTGTGCTTGCTCGCGCTAGTGCTGCCGTTCCCGCCGCGCTACACTGCATTGAGCCAAGCTGCATATCGCACGTGTTTGTCCTCTTTCGGCCGCGATCGCTTTTCTTTCCCACCTTACATCAGCACTCACATTCGTACACTCAGGCGGCCTTGTCCACACAATGACTTGCCACCCCCACGATGCTTTCTTCTTTGTTCAGCGATAGCGGGACTATCAGGCCTAGTCCACCTAGCGGCTGCGCTTGAGTAATTGAACTACACGGAAAAAGTGTTGCATGCGCATACGGGCTAGTGATCGTGGCATGAGCATCACGATGTGTTCTAGCCAGTTGTGCATCTATTTCATTGCAAGTGTCCTCGGAAGATCGACTCTGCATACATCGTTCGGTGTTTCTGTGGCTTCCAGAGTCATGCAACTTGTTAGAGCCCGAGACTAGTTTTCGTCTTCAATGTTGCATTCCTCCTTCTGCCCGCAGCACCACTTGTTCACACTGAACAACGTCGTCCCCCATTTCTGGCTTACGAGCAGCGCTGGTTTCACATATAATCACGATGGTTACACGACTACACGACGCGTTTGGCGGCTGAATTATACCCATGGCACGGGGCCACTCGACCACCCCCGCGCTGCCGGTGGTACCATGTCTGATTCGCCCCAGACAGCCACAGAAAACTCGTTCATGTCAAACGACGCACTCATCCACTGCATCGAGAACAACACGGCAGATCCAGCATCACGGTCCTCCTCGTCGTTGTGGCCATTGTGTCATGGCTACCCGACGAAACCGTAGCTGCTAGCCCTTCCATTCGTAGTTACGACGCGTGGGAAGTCCCTAGCGCTGTCGCGTAAGCCATCTCGTGCGGAATGCTCACCTCACCAGATCTCGTCCCGCAACCAGGACTATCGTCGTATCACGCCATTCTCCCGTGTATTTCCCTTTGCCTGCTGGCTGCCACGCCTAACACGCCTTGTGATCTTCAGCCTTCCTAGTCACCGCTTCCAACAGCCAACGCCATGCGTTCCTTCAATGCGCGCCTGTCACTCACTGGCCGCCATCAATCGCCACTTATACCCGGTGTGATGTTCATGATGCGCTTAGCATGCACGCAATCGCCATGAATGCTTCAATGGCTGTGGCAATCACCGCCTACTGCATTGTGAAGCCCCCATGCTCGCCATATAAGCTGCCTACCTGCTTCTTTCCAATACAGATCGACATTCCTCCTCCTCATACATTACTATTGATTTCTATTTGCTATCAATTAACTAATCACTACCTCAACTATCATCTACCGTTCTGTTCAGACGCCCCCCGACATTAGTGTTCATCATGTCGCTACAGGGTGATGAGATTGCCGAGCAGCGGCCCACTTACCGACGTCTAGCGACTGCCGAGCGACGTCAGATCAGCATCAGGGCGTTCAAGTCCTCGGATTCACTCTACAAACTCAAGGAACAGAAGGGTACACTTGAGGCTGCTGTCGAGGTCAGTACTACGATTCTTCAATTGCAAACCTTTTGATTAACATGTGGACATGGCAGCCCCTTTACGCAGGCTTTGCTGTCGCTCAGTCTGACGATGGCGACTTTCGCTACTGCATTGCGTTGCATGATGGAACTTACACCATTAACTGCGAGAGCAAATCTCTGGAGCTGTCCGGAGACGCAGGCGGAGGCAACTCATCGAACGAATCATCGCGAGTTGGATCAGGGGTCTCCACACCCATGTCTGTAGGTGATGTTTCCGAAGCTCTATCAAAAGCCTTCATCGGATTTCTCAACGACTACCGAGAGGAGAACCTTTCCAAGCCCATGGGTGCTACTCTGACCACGCAACTGGCTACCTTGAGTCCACACCTGGCCGTACGCCTATGGACTGAACTAGATATCATACCATTCATCTTTCCGGCCGACGCCAAAGAGAAGGAAGAGCCATCGATACCCCTAGATCAAGAAGCCGAACGCATGGCGAGAAAGACAGTGAAGCAATTCAACGTCAAGGGTGAGTTACCCGTTCAGATGGGTCATCGTCGTCAGGTGTTGGTTGATCTCGACAACCACGTGCACATCGCCGAGCGCGAAAGCTACGATTCTACTGTCAGGATGGACACTACAGGAGCTGCAACTATGCATTACGCCAATTCGCTCAAGAAGAGAAGGACCAAGATTGCCTTCTTCAACAGCACAGCACAAGGCGGAGGTGTCGCTCTCATGAGGCACGCTCTGATGAGATATCTGGCTCTTCTCGGTGTCGACTGCAAATGGTACGTTCCATACGGAAAGACCGATATCTTCAGGATCACCAAAGACAACCATAATATTCTTCAGGGTGTCGCCACAGCGGGTGAGCGTTTGACCGAGGAAAAAATGGCCGATCTTGATAACTGGGTCATCGAAGAGGCTGACAAGTGTCGTTGGGTAGAGCACGGCGGCCCGCTCTCATCTCGCGAGAAGGGTGGTGCCGATGTGATTATTGTCGATGATCCTCAGATGCCGAGCCTTGTTAAGATTGCGAAGGAGCGAGACTCCAGGTATGTACTCCCGGTTTGCTTGCGAACCTTTCCAGAATGCTTCTTTATGCTAACTCTATCCTCTAGTCGCCCAGTAATTTTCCGCAGCCACATCCAGGTCCGAGCTGACCTAGCTGACGAAGCAGGTACCGCTACCTCCGAGGTATGGAACTGGATCTGGAACCACGTCAAAGACTGTGATGTTTTCGTCAGCCATCCCGTGCGAGCATTCGTGCCCGAGGTTGTAACCCCAGAGAAAGTGGGCTACCTGCCTGCCACTACTGACTGGCTAGATGGCCTGAACAAGCACATGCACCCCTGGGACGAGCAGTATTACATCCACGAGCTCAAGGTTCAGTGCTTTTCAGCTGGTATGCGTCAGCTCGCTCACCCGGATCGCAAATACATCGTTCAAATCGCTCGCTTCGACCCAGCGAAGGGTATCCCAGACGTACTCGCATCATACGCACTCTTACGCAAGGTATACATGAAAGACACACCCCTTGTAGACATCCCCCAGCTCGTCATAGCTGGTCATGGTGCCGTCGACGATCCAGATGCCACACGGATCTTCAAAGAAACCGAGACTGCTCTCAACGGGGAGTTCAACGAGTTCAAGGACGACGTCATCATCATGCGTATCGGACCGTCCGACCAGATGCTCAACGCACTCATGTCCTGCGCTCATGTCGCCCTCCAGCTCTCCACCCGCGAAGGCTTCGAAGTCAAGGTCAGCGAAGCGCTCCACAAGGGCACACCTATCATCGCCACTCTCGCTGGTGGTATCCCTCTGCAGGTCCAGGATGGAAAGTCCGGCTTCCTGGTTAAGCCTGGTGACCACGATGCTGTTGCGAAGCACTTGTACGATCTCTTCACTGATTCGGAACTTCATTCGACTATGTCGGAGTATGCGAGCAAGCACGTTAGCGACGAGGTCAGTACCGTGGGTAATGCGCTCGCGTGGCTGTATCTGGCCGATGAGTTATCTAAGGGGGAGCATGTTGCACCTGACGGCCGATGGATCAACGATATGGCGAGGGAGAAAGCGGGTATTCCGTATCAGAAGGATGAAGATATTCTGGTCCGCAACGTGAACTTGACGAACTGAGTGTGGTTGTCTTGGAGATGCACTATAGATGGGCGATGGGCATGAGAGACATATTATTCCATGCCCTCGTCAGGAGCTATGGGAATCAGTCCAAATTTACGGTTGACAGTGTCAGATTAATTTCATAAGTAAACAAGCACTGCCCAGAGCGACAGGTAGTCATGTGATCTTTGGTCGGAGTAAGACATCCCCTTCAGTATTGCTTTCATCTGTGAAATCCCAAACCACATTGCATAATATCTGTGTGCTAACTTTTGAAGTGACCTCTGCTTTCTCAACTTGACTTTCCAATCTTTCATATGCTTGCTTTTGTTCTCTCTCGTCGGATCCTGAATCCGATATCTCCTCCGTGCAAAGGTCTTAGACCTGCATCCATGACCAGCTTTTCTATCATCTCCCTCGATTCCTGACCCTTGTACGCACCGAATCAGAGTTTCTTCAACATCTGTACGTGCTCTTCCCATTCGCCCTTAGACACATCGTGGACCACGTAACTCTTGTAACCCGGTAGCTGTCCTGCAACGATCCTCCAGTTGTCTAACCGGAAACCTTTCTTCGGTTGTGGGCTGATTATAGCCTCGATGCGAAGACTGACACCAGAACGTTTGGTCACCCACCGATTCCCCCTACTAGGATCAATGCCGAAGTCCTGGCAGAGACCCTCAAAGAAATCACAGGTGCGAGCTCGGCTCCACCCCATTCTGCGATAATCCAGTTCGGAAGTCGCAATGGTGACTTCGACCTCAGCAGAAGCAGTATCGGCTGGGCGTAAACGAGCGATTCCTGCAAGGTAAGAGCTGCAAGTGTAGACGAATTGCCACATGGCGTCGGAAGCTCTGGCGCCATCGAGCGCTTCTTCAGGTGAAGTGATGAGGCAGGTGTGTAAGTCGAGCTGAATCCAATTGGCAGCTGTCCAGTCCATGCCAAAACGTACTGGCTCCTTCACCATTTTCTGAAGTTTCTGAGCAATGATAGGTGCAGCTTCTTGATGGACCAGGCGGCAGGATGCCAGGATTGACATTGGCAGAACGCGTCGGTACATGACGAGTTTGCCATTGCCTTGCGAAGAGCCTGCAAAGGAAAGGTATGTAGTCAGTAAATGTCCCACGTGCACTTTGTACATCCAGAACTTACCGTCGTCTTGTTTGATGTGGACGCTGGGGGGCTTGTGTCTTGTCGTGGGTTTGTACTTTTCTTTCCTTGTCGCTACGTCGATGGCTTCGTAGACCATGCAGCGCAGCTCAGCCGGGAGGTCGAGGAAGCGGAATGGTCGAGAGGACATGGTGACCGTACGCGAAACACTGCAGTGTCGGAGTTGTTGAGAGTGAAGGTAAGTGGAAGACGAGGTGTATGAGTGAGGTCAAATTGACGTTGGAAGAAGGGGGGTGCGAGAGAGAGAGAGAGTAGGTTGCGATGAAGATCTAAGTGTCGGAGCCACTAACGCGGACGGTGAGTGACGTGTGGGGATGGGCCTCACGGTGAGAAACGATAACGGAAGGTGCGCCACGTGCTGGAAGCTCAATTTAGAGTCGCGGATGCACGTCAACCTAGGGAAAAACTAAACAGGTCTACAGCCTACACTTTTATTGTTACAGCCTACATTAACATGTAAACACGCAAAGCAGGTAACCTAATGTTGACGTAGGCTCTAGGCCTGTTCAGTTTTTCCCTTGTATAAGGTGGATGCATGGTTCAAAGTGAGGGTGTCAGTGCTGGGCATCAATATTACCTGCCTAATAACTAGCCAATGCATGCATCCAAGATGCAACACAATTACCCGTCTTTCCCTCAGCGCAAAGCAAAAGCTACAAACTTTTCATATCGAAACAACGACATGCATCCCACTGACATCCACGCAGAACCTAGATATCAGCAACAAAATGAAATCCGCCCCACCTATCGCGAAACAGCATACCACCAGGCCTCCCATCCCTACCCTGACTAATCCGCTTCTCCAGAGTCCAATCACCCTCTTTACTAGGATCCCACAGCTCAATAGGACCAACCTCTCTATCCTCAGCATCAACACCATCAACCGCATAGCTACGCTGTTGCTGGTACCGAACATACTCGCTAAAGCGACTTAAGACCAGATCGCCACTGCTGTCACGAACAGGGAGGGCCTGGTTGGGATCGGGTGTGAAGCGCGCTGCGAGAGGAGACTCAATGGAGCAAGTACGCGGAGTGCCGTGACCAGAGGGGAAACCGAGACGCGCTTCGATGGAACTCGCCTGGCTGCGGGGTGTCGAGGCTGTCGCTGTACTGGTGCTACCGCGGTTGCTGGAGGGAAGGACCATACGTGTACCGCTTTCGCGCATGAAGGCTAGAGTCTCCTCATCGAGACTGTCAGGACGGGGAGGGCGCGGAGGTGGTGGGCCGGGACGCTTTTTGAAGGGGACCGTGACGTGGTCTTCTGGGATGGGTGGACTGCAGAGTTGTGCCATGAGCTGAGGGCGGGATATGGAGACGCTGCGGTTTTGAGTCTTGACGAGAGATGCGCGCGATCCGCGTGCTGTTGAAAGTGATGTGAGGCCAGGAAGGCGTGCTTTGGGGAGAGGAACGCTAGTAGGTATCTGTGGAACAGGCGGAGGCGTTGGTGACTGCGTGGAGTCGTTGTTCTTGCTGCCGCCGAAGAGACGAGAGCCTGTAATACGAGTCAACATTGAGTCGATGTATGCATGGAAAGCAGAAAACATGCCTTTTTCTCTAAGCAATGCGAAGTTGGGCCGCGACTTTGATCTGAGCGGCTCTCCACCGCGAGCGTGTTTGTGCTCTGGAGTGGCGGAGAGGCTGCGCGAAGCTGGCGGAAGTGCCGGTGAGCTTGTTTGATACTCTTCCTCTTCCAAGTCCTCGTATTCGGGTAGGTTCTCGAAGCTATCGCCGTGCTGTCCTGGGGTGACACGCGTAGCGACTGGGGAGAGTGGCGTGAACGAGTTGGGAGCGGAAGGCAGAGTAGGCAGTGGCTTGTTTAGCTTGTCGTTCTTGCGTCCAAAGAATCGCGATGCTGCACATGTTTTTAGTGTGTCTCCGCCTACATGCGGGACAGTGACTTACGCTTTTTCCGCATATCCACGTCCTGAATCCCGGCGTCAAAGTCGATGTCCGAACTGTCGGCGATAGCGGTCTTCTCATCACGACTTGGGCTATCTCTGAAGAAGTGCGACGCTATCTATATGTTAACGCTAGAGCTTTTGCGGTTGTGGAGCGAGAGTGAATCCATCCCGGGCTCAACGCTGCCTATGGGAGAGAATAAGAGCCTACCTTTGCTCCGAAGACTCTTCATCCTGACCAGTTGCGGCAGTTGACAGTTGCGACAATTCGATTTTGTGTTAGTACGTAAGGTCGGGCGAGTGTTGCAAAGGTCGCGTGATTGCCTGCAAAGAAGAATCAAAGCGATCGAGCGGGGGTGTAATTGGTGGTGCGTAAACAGGCGCGAGAAGGCAACTGGAAAATGAACCTGCGCCCACTGGAGGTGCTCACTCAGGGTAGATCGCGACAAGTGCCAAGCAGCACTGGCACGTGCCGCTAGTGACATGGGATGGTGAAAGTGAGAGTTCACTCCCGTGATGAGTCGAAGGCAGGGAGGACCCTCGCTCGCCCAACAGTTAGTATGCCACCCCATGCTCTTGTCTGGGCTATATACTTCTCTTGCAGACAGAACAGATGACGTGGAAATCAAAGTCAAACGAAGAAACAATATAGGGAAGCAGCTCACCATCACGAAGCCGTGCCGAACGGAAACCTTGTTTGGACATGAAAACTTCGTGCCTCCCGAGGGAGACACCGAAGCCGAGCATCATGCCCTTATATTTTTTTCTTGATTTTTACTTGTGGTTTGTGGTGATGTAGTGATAGTCGAGTTGAGTCGTGCCTGGATCCAGATCATGGACAGCAGAGAATTGTCGGAGGAAGCTCACTTCTCATAGCCAGTCGAGACATTCCCTAAAGTGCCTATACACCAGAACATGAAACATGGTGCAAGAAAACGCCTGATTTCCAGCTCTTCAAATCCCATGTCCATGCATCCATTCATGAACAGTGACAAAAGAAACGCTTGCGCTGGACCAAAGAACCTGAGACGACATGCCCGTCAATGCTCACTGCTTCCACAAAAAGGATGGCCACCAGCCATTGATAACGCCATAAACTCCAGATGAAATGACAATACAATCATGAACCATAAACATGGAACAAATAGAAAATCCATATAAACAAGCGAATGTAGTGAGCCCAAACCATGCCCAAACATGGCAGGACTCGTAGAAACAACGACTACCTGACGCTGGACTCGCCAGCCGGGCTGAGATTGAGCAAGCGTTTGAGATCCTGCTCCAGAGACAACGTATTGGAAGGAGTGGCGGTTTTCATGGGCGAGGCACCAGCAGTGGCAGCGGGGGCTGAGGTCTTGCGTTGTTTAGCAGCGACTGATGAAGGTACAAAGGACATCATGCTGGTGGGGGCCTTTGGGGCAGATGCTGGAGGAGCATTAGCCGCCGTATTTCCAGTCCCACCCATGTTGCCTCGTTTCTGGTAAGTGTCGGGGCGAGGCTGTTGTGGCTGCCGGCCAGGCGTCTTCCTGCGGTTGTTTGGACTTTGTTGATAGGATTGCACATTGGGTGCTGATGGACGGGGCCCGTTGGCAAAGCCTCCGTTACCGTTGCCTGGCTGATCTCGGGAAAAGGCGTTGGGGTCCATCATCTGAGTGGGAGGAACAGAAGGAAAGCTCTGGAAGTTACCCGGTCCGACCATAGGAGACTCAGCCGAGATCTCGGTACGAAGACCAGAGTTGCGTTTCTTTGCAGAATCGCCCTTTGCAGCTTTGAACAAGGGAGAAAGATTACGGTTGCCATAGAAAAATTCAGAGTCTTGGTTCGGCGGTGGTGCCTGCGGTGTGGTGGGTCCAGAAGGGTTCTGGGGAGGGCGACCGTCGTGGAAAGGTGATGGTGTCTGACCTATCATGAATCCTTGTGGACCCTGCGCATCCGGTCGAGGCGGTGTTGCCGAAGGCTTCTTCTGTGACATTGAGAGACGATTCAGTAGGTCGTTCATAACATCGTTGCCGTTACCCTGCTGTTGCATATCCTTGAGCTGTGGAATCTTGGTGGGATCTGTAACGGAGCGATGCGAGGCGGGCGAGGCTACTGGTGGAGGAGACATGTGTGCGTGCTTGCTTTCCCCGTCAAGCTCTATGGGAAAGACGCCATTCATCGAGTGTGACGAATCATGCTTCAAGTGCTGTGGCCTGGAAGTGTCCATTGGGTTGAAAGGTCCGTGGGAGGCTGGGCGTCCATGGTTGCCCTTGGCTCTCTCAGCTGCATCCGCCTTGAAAAGCAGGTCCAATGGAGATTGTTCATTACGAGGAGGAACGGCCACCGGGGCGCGGGAAGGAGAAGCAGAAGGACTTGGAGAAGCAGAATCGGAACTATCTTCGGGCGGAGGTGTTGGTGGACCAGCACGTGTCTTGGCCGGCACAGAACGAGAAAGAAACTTGGGTATAGGCAGAGCAGAAGGAGCCGGAGAAGCATGGAAGGTCGGGCCGGCATAGGCGGCCTGGATCTTAGCCGGGGTAGCAGACGGATTGATCGGAACAGGCTCTGATTCAGGAGGAGAGAAGACGCGGTCGATGGAGGGATGGGACTGGTTGGGCTTCCTCATGTTGCGCGGTCCAGAGGGCATGTGCGCGTCCTCACCTGAGTGGGACGCGCCTTCCGCGCGGGCGAGCTCAGCAGGCATCTTACTCGGGGACGCTCCTGCCGCATTGTGTTGGTTCTGGCTGTAGCCATTGTGTGCGCGGTTGCCTCGCGGTTTGCGTTGCGACTGCCGGCCGGCGTTGGCATGCGCTGCCTGAGCTGGGCTCTGCGGCTTGCCCCGGGGAGCGCGTGGAGAGGCAGTCGTCTGTACTGTCGACATGTGAAGCGTTGTCTGTGGAGTTGTTGTATTGTGATGGGGGGTGGGTTATCTGGTAGGGCGCAGGCGGACGCTCTTGGTTCGTGATGAGGTAGTGGGTTGGATGCGCGATGACGCGGTCTGTGTCTTTGTCTGATAAGGTGGGAATGTGCAAGGGTTAGATGTTGAAGTGATCATATCCAGATTCGCGGGGTATAGATAGGCACGCGCCGTTGGGTGAGATAGGGCGAAGAGTGAGGGTGTTGTGAGCAGAGTCGGTCGCATCGACGGTGAACGGCGCGGAGGTGGCTGTGATCCAACGAGGCTGATCTCGGCAAGGCGCACTGACGGTTGCGGCGGCGTAGGGCTGAGAGGTCGGGTTGGGTATGATGGAAG